AAGAGACTGTAAAAATTATAGAGGAATAAGTTTACTGAGTATACCAGGAAAAGTGTACGGTAGGGTTATAATTGAAAGAATTAGAGGTAAGACAGAATGTAGGACTGCGGATGAGCAAGGAGGTTTTAGAGTGGGTAGGGGATGTGTAGATCAAGTGTTTACATTGAAGCATATATGTGAACAGTATTTAGATAAAGGTAGGGAAGTTTTTATTGCATTTATGGATTTAGAAAAGGCATATGATAGAGTGGATAGAGGAGCAATGTGGCAGATGTTGCAAGTATATGGAATAGGTGGTAAGTTTATTAAATGCTGTAAAAGAGTTTTATGAGGATAGTGAGGCTCAGGTTAGGGTGTGTAGAAGAGAGGAAGACTACTTCCTGGTAAAAGTAGGTCTTAGACAGGGATGTGTAATGTCACCATGGTTGTTTAATATATTTATAGATGGGGTTGTAAAGGAAGTAAATGCTAGGGTGTTCGGGAGAGGGGTGGGATTAAATTTTGGGGAATCAAATTCAAAATGGGAATTGACACAGTTACTTTTTGCTGATGATACTGTGCTTATGGGAGATTCTAAAGAAAAATTGCAAAGGTTAGTGGATGAGTTTGGGAATGTGTGTAAAGGTAGAAAGTTGAAAGTGAACATAGAAAAGAGTAAGGTGATGAGGGTATCAAATGATTTAGATAAAGAAAAATTGGATATCAAATGGGGAGGAGGAGTATGGAAGAAGTGAATGTTTTCAGATACTTGGGAGTTGACGTGTCAGCGGATAGATTTTATGAAGGATGAGGTTAATCATAGAATTGATGAGGGAAAAAGGTGAGTGGTGCGTTGAGGTATATGTAGAGTCAAAAAACGTTATCTATGGAGGCAAAGAAGGGAATGTATGAAAGTATAGTAGTACCAACACTCTTATATGGGTGTGAAGCTTGGGTGGTAAATGCAGCAGTGAGGAGACGGTTGGAGGCAGTGGAGATGTCCTGTTTAAGGGCAATGTGTGGTGTAAATATTATGCAGAAAATTCGGAGTGTGGAAATTAGGAAAAGGTGTGGAGTTAATAAAAGTATTAGTCAGAGGGCAGAAGAGGGGTTGTTGAGGTGGTTTGGTCATTTAGAGAGAATGGATCAAAGTAGAATGACATGGAAAGCATATAAATCTATAGGGGAAGGAAGGAGGGGTAGGGGTCGTCCTCGAAAGGAATGGAAAGAGGGGGTAAAGGAGGTTTTGTGGGCAAGGGGCTTGGACTTCCAGCAAGCGTTCATGAGTGTGTTAGATAGGAGTGAATGGAGACGAATGATACTTGGGACCTGACGCTCTGTTGGAGTGTGAGCAGGGTAATATTTAGTGAAGGGATTCAGGGAAACCAGTTATTTTCATATAGTCGGACTTGTGTCCTGGAAATGGGAAGTGCAATGCCTGCACTTTAAAGGAGGGGTTTGGGATATTGGCAGTTTGGAGGGATATGTTGTGTATCTTTATATGTGTATGCTTCTAAACTGTTGTATTCTGAGCACCTCTGCAAAACAGTGATAATGTGTGAGTGAGGTGAAAGTGTTGAATGATGATGAAAGTATTTTCTTTTTGGGGATTTTCTTTCTTTTTTGGGTCACCCTGCCTCGGTGGGAGACGGCCGACTTGTTGCAAAAAAAAAAAACTCTATTACTACAGTACTATTATATTACCACTAGTACTCCTGCTTCTACATTATTACTACTAGTACTAATGCTACTACTTTGTTACCACTAGTACTACTACCACCACTTCTCATCTCCCTCTTCCTCACTTGTCATCATTTGGTCATCTCTGTTGTTTACTGTTCACTGCTGACTGGATAATGTTCCAGGATGGTCCAAAACATTGTCTAAACTTTCTTGTGCTAGGAAAACCCAATTTATGAGTTTCAATAAAAAGATAAATAAAATCTTAATTTAACCCTTAAACGGTCCAAATCTATATATACGTTCACTCGCGCAACGCCCCGAATATTTTGAGAAAAAAAAAGTTTTTTTTTATTAGGAAAAAAGAGCATGTGGTATCCAGGCATCCCCAATTTCTTTCATATGGCGCACACTGAGTGCACACACCCATTCTCTCATGTCTAGGCGACTCAGGCATATCGTGCCAATGTTGAATGAGTGACAAAGGAAACATATATACAGTGGACCCCCACATAACGATATTAATCCGTTCCTGAGAGTTCATTGTTATGCGAAATTATCGTTATGCGAATGATTTTTCCCCATAAGAAATAATGGAAATCAAATTAATCCGTGCAAGACACCCCAAAGTATGAAAAAAAAAAATTTTACCACATGAAATATTAATTTTAATACACACAAACTGAAAAAAGACAGGCCCACAGTTCATGACACTTACCTTTAATTGAAGATCTGGGTGATGATTGATGGGATGGGAGGAGGAGAGAGTCTTAGTGTTTAGGAAGGGGAATCCCCTTCCAATTAAGACTTCAGGTGTCAAGTCCTTTTCCGGGGTTACTTCCTTCTTCTTTTAATGCCACTAGTACCATCCTTCAGAGTCACTGCGACTTTTGTGCACAAACATATTGTCAATAAGGCTGTACCTCCCGTTCCTTTATGACTTTCCCTAAAGTGTTTCACAAACATTGTCGTGTAATAGTCTCCAGCACGGCTTTGCAATAGCTGTGTTAGGGTGATTGTCATCAAAAAGGTTGCACTTTAAGCCACATTCCACACCATTTCCTTAATCTTTGATGTAGGCAACTTCTTCTTTCTCTCTCCCTCCTCGAAACCAGTTTCCTCAGGTCTTGGCCTCTAGTGTTGAAGTTGATCCTAGCAGCTCATCAGCGGTAGTTCTTCATTGTCGTTCCTCCACAACTCTTCACATCTCCCACTAACCTTCCAACCCCAAGGACTCCCAATGCCACAATGGATGCCTCAAACTGGCATTAGGGATTCCCAGGGTTAGCCTCAAACCTTCTCAAAATCCCTTTGGTGTCTACACATTCTGGCCACAGTTCTTCCAAGCAGAGTTCAAGGTCCTCTTGGTCACTCCTCCAAAGCCTTACCTATAAGGTTTACACATTTGAGGATATTAAAGTGATCTCTCCAAAACTCTCTTAGAGTCAGTTGATTTATGGGGTCACTTCAAAGCACCTTTCAAACCGCGCTTTTGTGTACAGTTTTTTGAAGTTTGCAATAACCTCGCTGGTCCATGGCGCTGCAGGAGAGGGAGTGGTATTAGGAGGGCAAAAACTTCACCTTTATGAACTTCATGTCTCACATCGTGTAAGTCGATCTGCACGTCTGTAGGATGGCAGGGGCATTGTCTAACCCAGGAGGAACTAGTGTCTAATTTCTTTTTCAGTTAGGTAATTTTTCACATTGGGGGCAAATGCTTGGTGTAACCAGTCATAGAAAAAGTCCCTAGGGGCCCCATGCCTTACTGTTTGCCCTCCACAGCACCCCACAAATTAGCCTTGAGGATATTCTTTTGCCTGGGAGTTTTCTGAGTGATACACTAATAAAGGCTTCACTTTGCAATCACCATAGCATTGGAACACATAAACAGAGTAAGCTGTCTTTCATAGGCTTATGTCCTGGGAGTGCCTTTTTCCTCCTGAGTAATGTAGGTCCTGTTTGGCATTTTCTTCCAAAACAGGCCTGTTTCATCACAATTTAAAAACACTTGTTCGGGTTTCAGTCCTTCATGTCTATGTACTCCTTAAATTTCCCTGCACATATTTTTCAGCTGCTTTGGGTCCAAACTGGCAGCCTCACCATGCCTTATCACACTATGTATGCCACTACGCTTCTTAAAAACTCTCAAACCAACCTTTGCTGGCCTTAAATTCACTCACATCATCACTAGTTGCGGGATTTTTTAATTAAATCCTCATGCAACTTCCTAGCCTTTTCACTTATGATCACTTGAGGGGTGCTATCCCTGCACTGTTTTTATTTCCACACCAATAGAGTCTCTCAACATCTTCCATCACTTGTGATCTCTGTTTCGAAAACACAGTTGAACCTTTGGCAAGAACAGCTTCCTTGATTTTCCGTTTTCTTGGACACAATAGTAGCGATGGTTGATTGGGTTTACTATACAACCTGGCCAGCTCAGAGACACGCACTCCACTTTCTCTTAGCAAAAGATCTCTTTCTTCATCTCTATAGTAATTCTCACCCTTATTCCGAAGGGTTGGACTAGAAGCTTTCCTTGGGGCCCATGGTCACTTATTTTGCAGATAAAATCACCAAAACCTGTAATATACGAAATGTTCCGATTGTATGCTTGGATGTTACCGCGGAGGCTGGTGGTAAACAATGCCACCCGGGGGAACATGTGAGGCTGGCTCAGGCCTCACATTAGACGCGTCCGGACGAATAGCATTTAGCAGGTTTTTTAGGGTATGCGAGGCAAATCTTAGGATAAAATGTAAACGGTATGCGGATTTAACGTTATGTGTTGCCAACGGTTTTGCGGGGGTCCACTGTATATGTTCGGGACGCTACGCGAGAGAAACTCATATAAATGTATACGTTTGGACCTTTAAGGGTTTTAAAGGCCTATAGTAAGAAGTGTGTGTGTCCAGTAATGGGGTTTGTCAAGTAAATCCCAGTTAATGTTAAATATAACAAATAAAGAAGCACTATAGTAAAGTGTATAAAAAATGGTACCACATGCAGATGAGAGATATATTATAATAAATGTTAGAAATATACAAGTTAAAAGTACAGTACCAGTAATATTAAGTACCTTTTGTAGTAGACAAATAAGACTGCTTTGTTTGGACAGTAATGGACAATTGTGATCCAACAGATTTTGTCTTTAATTTCTGTAATTTGTCAGTTATTTGCCATAACAACAACAGACTTTGTCTAATGCTTTTGAAACCAATTTACCCAATGCACAGAATCCCTTTTTTCTAAAATTTGTTAAACAGAGTTCCATTAAATTGAGGTTTTATTTACTGTGCATTATCATAGGTGTTCTGAGGTTGAGAAGTACAAATACTTACGTTTCCTATATTGAAAGTTTCTATAAACTTTCTGTGGAGATATGAATAAATACACCATCTGCCAGGCTGCAAATTCAAAATCCATTTGACGGAACTTTAGAAGCCGTCGGAGGTACCTGTATCTTTTTGCCGCAGCCGTCATACAGTCGTGTCTGTTGGGTAGAGAGAGAATTACGTGAGTGCATCACGCAGGGCCTAGAGGCTATGAAATTTTTAGAGCCTACAAAAATTTTTGTAAACTAAAATCAAATTTTTAAAAAATCTGAAAAGGAAACAAACAAAAATATTTATCTTCTTAAATTAAACATACGAACAGCAAACCCTCAAATTAATGGACCCACATTTAATGGACTTCAGAAAATTGGCAGGATGAATGTTGGAATCACAGGACAAAATGGAAAAAGTCCATAGATTCCAGATTTTGTCAATACCAACAGTGTCGATAGTGTCTGGCAGCCTTCTGAATGAAGAGGCCAAGTCGGATAATTCCAATGTTTGTTCAGTATGGCCCAAATTGTCCTCGTCCAGGAGCTGTCTGCTTTCATTGTTTCCAGAGCTACAGGCTGCCCCATCACTGTAATGTCTGTGCTCACTCATGCATACACTTACCATAGTCTCCCAATTTTCTCAGGATTTACAGTGTTCTGTGTGACTTTATTAACATATTAAGAACAGTGCAATTAACAAATGGTTTCTAAAAAAGATTAAAAAGATTAAAGATTTTATTTCTTAGCAAAGGTTACAATAATGTGTAATTACAATTTTGATTTGGTAAGTACAAAGAAAGCCACTATCATGCTGGGGTATTTTAGGCAAACTAATACATAATAACTACTTAAGTTTAGACAAAATAAGAATGGTTAACTTTTTAATATACAGTGGACCCCCGGTTAACGATTTTAATCCGTGCAAGAGGGGTAATCGTTATGCGAAATAATCGTTATGTGAATGAATTTTCCCCATAAGAAATAATGGAAATAAAATTAATCCGTGCAAGACACCCAAAAGTATGAAAAAAAAAATTTTTTACCACATGAAATGTTAATTTTAATACACACAAACTGAAAAAGGCATGCACACTTACATGACACTTACTTTTATTGAAGATCTGGTGATGATTGATGGGATGGGAGGAGGGGAGGGATTATCTTTTACTGTTTAGAAGGGGAATCCCCTTTTCCCTTAGGACTTGAGGTAGCAAGTCCTTTTCCGGGGTTTTCTTCCCTTCTTCTTTTTAAAGCCACTAGGACCAGCTTGAGAGTCACTGGACCTCTGTCGCACAACAAATCTGTCCATAGAGCTTGTACCTCCCGTTCCTTTACGATTTGTCCCAAAATGGGCCACAAAAATTGTCATTGAAATAGTCACCACACGGCTTGCAACAGCTGTGTCAGGGTGATTTTCATCCATAAAGGTTTGCAGTTCACCCAACTGTGCACACATTTCCTTAATTTTTGGGGTAGGCACAATGGATTCCAAACTGGCATAGGGTTCTCAGGGTTAGCCCCAAACCCTTCAAAATCTTTCTTAATTTCCATACTAATTTCACCCTTTTTTCCACAGGGTTGGGCACTAGAAGCTTTCTTGGGGCCCATGGTCACTTTTTTCCAAAACAGCACCGAAAACACTGTAATAATACGAAATATTCCGATTGTATGCTTGGATGTTATTGCGGAGGCTGGCTGGTAAACAATGCCACCGGCGGAACATGTGAGCGTGGCTCAGGCCGCACATTGGAAGCGTCTCGGACGAAAATCGGTAAGCGGGTTTTTAAGCGGTATGCGAGGCAAAATTTTTGCAATTAAAGTAAGCGGTATGCGAAATAATCGCTATGTGATGCCATCGTTATGCGGGGGTCCACTGTATCTTTATTTTATCTTAATACTAATGTGAGGTAGTCAGGGTTTATAAGAATAATCTTGAAGTTGCACATAATAAAAAAATATTACAATTAATGGTTCAAACAGTAATATTTTATGGATTGGCAGATGTTTTAATAGACTAGAGGTCATATAATAAAATATTTGCTTCAAACTGATTAGAAGTTGTTTTGATTGGTTTGGTTAGTACTGAGAGATGAGATGATTTTTTTAGCATAGTCCTAAATTTGTATGTAGTCAGGGGATCCTTAACCAGTTCAGGTAGTGAATTCCAGATCTTTGGGCCCTTTATGTGCATTGCATTTTTGCACAGTGTGAGACTGACACGAGGGATGTCAAGTGGTGGTGCCAGGAGGAAACATATGCTCTCAGTGTTAAGCAGAAACTTGAACTAATAAGGAAAGTTGAGTGTGGCATATCAGTGGCATGCGTATGTGGGGAATATGATGCTAGAAAATGTCTCTGATATCTATAGAAGCAACGACAAACTTACAGGCAATGTTCTTAAATTAAGTGTAGATGCTAGTCATCTACTTCTCAGCCATCTACAGTTTTGAAGTGGGACACTTATGAAACATTTAGGAATCTTTACTGAGGAAATGTTTTGTCAGCCAGTGGTTTCATCAGTCCAATACAGTGGAACAGTGTAAGATGAGGAAATGTTTGAGGTAATCAGTCCCTCATCATCCACCATTCTTCTCTGTATTGGACTGAAGAAGCCACTGGCTGGCCAAATGTTTCCTCAATAAAGATTCCCAAATATTACACAACTGTCTCATTTTTCAACTTGTTGGTTTTCTAAACAATTCATATCACATGTACAATTTCATTAGAGGGGCTTTACAGCTCCTCTAATTCAGAATAAAAGTTATTCTGAATTGCTACTGTTGATCATGGCAGTTTACACATTATCTTTCCACCACAGAATGTAAGTAAAATTGCTGTAAAATTAGTATACTGTCTTCTACTGTACATGATGTTACTATTGTACTTTCAATGTATTCCTTTATATTTGCAATTCCTGTAATGTACTGTTTTACAGGTTACAATATTTTTGGGGATATAGTTTTGGAGTGGTTGGTGCAAATATTTAATAAATGTATGGAAGAGGGTAAGGTACCTAGGGATTGGCAGAGAGCATGCATAGTTCCTTTATATAAAGGCAAAGGGGATAAAAGAGAGTGCAAAAATTATAGGGGGATAAGTCTGTTGAGTATACCTGGTAAAGTGTATGGTAGAGTTATTATTGAAAGAATTAAGAGTAAGACGGAGAATAGGATAGCAGTTGAACAAGGAGGCTTTAGGAAAGGTAGGGGGTGTGTGGACCAGGTGTTTACAGTGAAACATATAAGTGAACAGTATTTAGATAAGGCTAAAGAGGTCTTTGTGGCATTTATGGATTTGGAAAAGGCGTATGACAGGGTGGATAGGGGGCAATGTGGCAGATGTTGCAGGTGTATGGTGTAGGAGGTAGGTTACTGAAAGCAGTGAAGAGTTTTTACGAGGATAGTGAGGCTCAAGTCAGAGTATGTAGGAAAGAGGGAAATTATTTCCCAGTAAAAGTAGGCCTTAGACAAGGATGTGTGATGTCACCGTGTTTGTTTAATATATTTATAGATGGGGTTGTAAGAGAAGTAAATGTGAGGGTCTTGGCAAGAGGCGTGGAGTTAAAAGATAAAGAATCACACATAAAGTGGGAGTTCTCACAGTTGCTCTTTCCTGATGACACTGTGCTCTTGGGAGATTCTGAAGAGAAGTTGCAGAGATTGGTGGATGAATTTGGTAGGGTGTGCAAAAGAAGAAAATTAAAAGTGAAAGAGTAAGGTTATGAGGATAACAAAAAGATTAGGTGATGAAAGATTGGATATCAGATTGGAGGGAGAGAGTATGGAGGAGGTGAATGTATTCAGATATTTGGGAGTGGACGTGTCAGCAGATGGGTCTATGAAAGATGAGGTGAATCATAGAATTGATGAGGGGAAAAGGGTGAGTGGTGCACTTAGGAGTCTGTGGAGACAAAGAACTTTGTCCTTGGAGGCAAAGAGGGGAATGTATGAGAGTATAGTTTTACTAATGCTTTATATGGGTGTGAAGCATGGGTGATGATGTTGCAGCGAGGAGAAGGCTGGAGGCAGTGGAGATGTCATGTCTGAGGGCAATGTGTGGTGTGAATATAATGCAGAGAATTCGTAGTTTGGAAGTTAGGAGGAGGTGCGGGATTACCCAAAACTGTTGTCCAGAGGGCTGAGGAAGGGTTGTTGAGGTGGTTCGGACATGTAGAGAGAATGGAGCGAAACAGAGTGACTTCAAGAGTGTATCAGTCTGTAGTGGAAGGAAGGCGGGGTAGGGGTCGGCCTAGGAAAGGTTGGAGGGAGGGGGTAAAGGAGGTTTTGTGTGCGAGGGGCTTGGACTTCCAGCAGGCATGCGTGAGCGTGTTTGATAGGAGTGAATGGAGACAAATGGTTTTTAATACTTGACGTGCTGTTGGAGTGTGAGCAAAGTAACATTTATGAAGGGGTTCAGGGAAACCGGCAGGCCGGACTTGAGTCCTGGAGATGGGAAGTACAGTGCCTGCACTCTGAAGGAGGGGTGTTAATGTTGCAGTTTAAAAACTGTAGTGTAAAGCACCCTTCTGGCAAGACAGTGATGGAGTGAATGATGGTGAAAGTTTTTCTTTTTCGGGCCACCCTGCCTTGGTGGGAATCGGCCAGTGTGATAATAAATAAAAAATAAAATATTTTTAGTGCCTGAAAATCTTCAGAATCAAAATCAAGTCTGCTGATTCCAAACTTTGTCTGTTTATGTTACGATCATGAAAAAAAATAAATTTATAATTCAGAATGTAGGGGCAATCGGCAATAACACACACCCACTCCTCCCCACTGCTCCACTAATTTGAGAGATCAATGTATGTGAGAGTAAAAGTAGGAAATTACTATTATATTATTACATGTATCAAATGAAAATTTAATTCTATGACAAGATTTAAAATTTTCTTAATGCTTAAAGAAAATGGTTATGATACTGGCAAAAGAGAATAATAACAATAATAAAACGATAAAACACGTATAGTATACATTAATATTGCAATAAATTAGTTATTACAGTCATAAGGGAGGCAGGGCGCCATGAAGGCAAGCTTGCTTGAGGCCTAAGAAGGTTTGAATATCGTAATGTGTACGGTATATATTGATTAACCCTTTTACTGTCCAGATCCTTGAAAATAATACAGCTGTGTTCACACTAAAAAAATCTGAAATGTTAAGAGAATC